GGGGTGTGTCTGTTGCTATAACAACAGGTTTTCTTTTCCTTGTTATGGACTTGGATTTGTTGTTTGTTTCCGTTTAGGAAAAGTGAAACAATTAGGATGGAGAAAGAATATAAACTTTGCTCTTGTCCAAGAGAAGACCTGGGCAGGAGGCAAAGGCAGGGAGCTCAGGTGCTGCGTGTGCCGGAGCCAGTCTGCGGGCGACTCCTTGAGCTTCTATCCCAAACCCCAATTATTTATACATCTTCCCTTAGTACGACCGTAGGCTTTGCAAAACGACACCAGGCTTATAAACTAACCCAAATTACTCACCTAGCTTTCTCGCGCTACATTTGCAAGTCTGACTGAAGGGGGACATGGCCCTCTATAAGAGTTCAGGTCTGAGGTTTACCACTCGCAGATCTAGTTTGCTTTTCAGCTGATGAGATTGTTTATATATTTTTTTTAATACGAATGTAAAAAAAGCTGAGTCAGCCATACCGCAGCTATTAAGATCCTAAAACTTCTTCCTCCTTAAGGATTGCTTACCCCCACTCTATGCAGCCAGATGAATACGAGTTGTTTGTTCTGGCAGAGGGACAGACAGTCTGTTTTCCCCTACATGTATACAACTAATTTCAAGTCACTAGTGTTCTAGCTGGTGATAAAAGAGCTATCTTAAGCTTTTCACAGAACACGGTGACACTGTTAAATCAGCACAGCATTTTGATTAGCAGAAATATGAGAGCTATGCAGCTTAATGAGAAAAATGGGCAAAAATCCTTTCTGTACTTAAAACTCCAGTTTCAAAGCAAATAGGTGGCCATATTTTTTCTGTAAGTTACAGATTTTCACCTTACTACTGATTCAAGGCTAGTGAGCGATAACCTGTGCTATTTGAGTAAAGAAGAAAAATTGCTTTCATGCCTTATTGCTCATCTAGTCAGACCTTCTCCTGCGGATGCGTAACAGGCAGCTGCGGGGTCGCAGCCCGTGGGCTTGGTGACTTGAAGGACGCATAGGCTCTGATAACTCTTCCTTCAGGAGCTTTGGGGCTCACCCTTGGATGCATGTTCCCTTTATAGCACTTTTGTCCTTGAAAGCACGGTCTGGTTTGTCTGCTCGTCCTTAGAGATAGTATGGACCTCTGAGGTTCTTCTGTGGCTTACACAGCCCCTTGCACATACATGTCCCTTACCTCATCCTTCCCTAAGGTAGCAGTCCTTATATTGCTGGGAAGGTTGAGTTCTCTTTGGCCTTCTCCAAGAGCATTTTCTCAGTTTTTGGACATGTGACCCCAGGACCCTTTCCTGAAGTCTTCATTCTGGTTAAGTGATCTTTTGATCAGTTGTGACTGTGTGTCCTTTGGCAGGGTACTTCCAGTTCCTGCTATTGGAGGCTGATCGTAAGCCTAAATGCCTTCTGAAGGCTAAAACTTCCTGGTAACTTCCGGAGTAAATTTATATCTAAAGCATTTATGTCCATTTGTTCAAGGGCCAAGATTGTCTTTCAACTGAAATAGGTTTTCTCCCTTCTGAGGTTTAAATCTTTACTGTGTGTGTCAAGAGCAGTCTTCTAACATCTCTGATACCAATAGAGGAGAAATATATTTACTAGCTGATCTCTTAGTGAAAGTGGTTGTAGCACTTTGTAATTCATCATTTGTGGATGCTGTGACCCCACAGTGATGTTTCTAGAATTGCTTTACAATGCCAAATGGCCTTAGGCTGCACTCTACATGGTGGCATCCTATCACAGTGCTATCCCGAAGGAATCGCTACGCAGCTTACAGAATTCAGAAGCGATGCAGATATGGGCATATCAGACTCCTCGCATTAATTCAGACTTCCTTGCATTTAGACTGCTTCATATGCTTATTCTCCTGATACTGGGCTGTACTAGTGAAAATTACACACAGAGGAGCTTGAGAGGCTCTTAAATTACAGTTGACCCCACTCTAACCTATGACTTTCTCTGAACCAAAGAATTCGGTCTGGTATGTCCTCCGAGATGAAATCTCAGGGGATCTCAGCTTGATAGGTAGGCTGAGCTAAATGTGATTATCCATGTAGCTTGTGCCAAGCAGAACAGTTCACAGCCAGCCACTCCTGTTTGCATACCCATGCAGTGTTTTGGGTATATTGGGCTGTGCAATAACCTGAAAAGCACATGAGGGGGTGGGAAGGCAAGGAATACTTAAAAGCAGAAAGAGGAACAGAGTGACCTTGTTCTTGTGCAAAAAGCAAGCAGAAATAAATGATGGCTTACGCTAACAAAAGCCAAGTTTGTATTTCCAGAAAGTGCCGCTGAGTATCTGTATGCCATGGTCTGTCTGTAACGAGCAGAGTACATTCTGCACCATTAGTGGCGTTCGGCTAAGACCAGCGACTCTGGTGAGATGACAGAAGTAATACTAAGCTTAGTTTAACACAATCTGCAGAAGCAGCTCTGCACAGTTGCTATAACACTATGTTAAACTAGGCTAAACTCTGAATACTGCTATAGTCACTGCTTTTGGAACCACCCTGGATTCAGTCTGTCAGAATGTTCCTCTCCTTTACAAAATACATAATCTCATTTCAAATCATCTAGTTTCCTGAAAGCTACTCAATGTGGGGGAAAAAAGGCTGACACAGTTCCCTCTTGCCTGCTGATGTAGTAAACTTACTGATTGCTTATCTGCAGTAACACCAACCACATTTTTTTTTAACTTTTGAAATCATATTTATGAACACTTTCTTGGTTCAGGCTGCCTTCTCAAAAATGGGCATTTATATGTATTGCTTCTTAGGAAAGATCAGCTTCTGAAAGTGTATTTTTTTAATTGTTGTTATTTTTAAAAATCTTCAACCTGACTTCAAGGGGAAGACACTCCCCTCCCAGCACCCCAAATGATTCCCCTTGTATCACTTCACCTGTTGGGATAGTAGTGAATTTTTGGGTTTGAAAGTATCCTGGGCAGGATTCCCCACCTGCCACCACAAAGCAACGCACTCTCCGAACACAGGTCTAAAGTGTCTGGCTGATCAGTGGACCTCAACAGTTGATGACTCAGTAGATGACAATTTCTCTCTGAATCGACATGCCAACAAGATTTTAGGAAGAAGAGACTGTTATCACTGAGCTATAAAAGGACATCTGGTAACTGTCACAACACTTCATTGTTTTTCAACAAAATGTTTCACTTAGATTGAAAAATGAGCTGCGTTGTTTTTTTGGTTTTGTGTTTTTGTGTTTTTTTTTTTAAAAAGGTGGGTGGGTTTACGGTCAAGTGAAATATTCCAGGTTTATGTGAAATCATATTTCTAAAGAAATTTGGAAAAACCATTTCCTTCCCTTGGGAAATTGATTCCTACTCCCTGTCCTGACGTGTGAAAGCTAGTGGAGATTACTTTGACATAATCTCAATGTGTGTCCTGCAGAAGGAAAAGTGCTCGTCCTGGAGTTTTTGGCTGAAGTCCAGCACAGAAAATTTGAAGTTCATCTTCCCAAATCCTCTCTGCAACTCTACTTGGATAAAGTCTTTCAGTCCTGTACAAACTGTTTTGCTGCTATTTTAATAGCTTCAGAGCTCTACCACTAGCATCCATCTTAAATGATGGGCAAAGTGACCCTTTCAGTCTCTTGCCTAATTCACACTGACTGTTCTGCCATTAGTTATCTAATGATTTGTGAAATATTTTGTGATATACCTCGTGGTCTTCAGCCGAACAGTCCTCTGCAAGTGTCTAATGTTGGTAGTAATGGTGATACATACCAAGTCACCATTGCATTTCCTCATGCATTTCTTTCATTTAAGCGTGTTAAGTGGTTAGAAACTTCTAATGTTGAAACTTTTAGTTTTTGGCAGTGCTAATGCAAGCATACAAGCAGAGCTTCCTCTTGCAGGCTTTTCTCCTGCCAGAAGTTCCCGTTCACACCAACAATCTCATCAGCTGCACGCAGGCTAAATTTTGCAGCATACCACAGTGTACCCTGAGATTCTGATTATTTTCTTTTCTTCCTTTC